GAAGCCTTAAAGTTTAGTTTAACAAGCATTAGTAGGAAGAAAGGCCTGGCCGATCTACTTCTGAAAATCAGCCAATGAAAACCTTATGCATTGCAATGGTCTGATCCACAACCAATTCATTGCACTGTGCATGGGGTCACCAAGAGTCAGAGGCAACTGGACAGCAATTAATGAATAAATTATAACCTAAGTCCAATTGTATCCTCTTTGCTCTGTAATTGTTGGTCATCCGCACAGTGTAAGACCCTCCAGAAGACCATCTTTTCCCCAATTTCATCTCCACACTCCTTTATCCTTCCCCGTTAGACTGCAAGTTTCACAAAGGCAAGGAGTATTCGCTGCTGCTTTTCCCCATGGCTAGCTCAGTGCCTGGCAATAATAACTGTCCAAAACTTGCTGAATCAAATTGACATATGGATTGCTCCCATCCACAACTAACCTCCTTCCTAACACTCTGCCCACACCCTCAAGTGTTATGAAACATTTACTTCATTTTCTCACTTTAGCTGAAACCTGGTTCTTCTCCAAGAACATCACTTCCCTTAGAGGGTCCCACTCCCTAAACACAGTGGGATCCTAAAGACAGCAAGGGCACGCTCACTGCTCCCCACACTGGCATCCAGATCACTACCTGGCACCTCCATGCAAACACCAGTGCTCCTTGGAGACTCACGCCATCCAGGTACGCCTCCTCATCACCGATACCTCCTAAATTCCAGGTCCCTCCCCTTTAATAACTGGCATATGGCTCACAGTTTTCTTTCCACTCCAATACTGACATCATCACGGAAGACATCATTCAAGCTGACAATCTATCTGAGAGCCTATGTCAAATGTTTTTGGTTTCCTTCACTCTTCAGAAGGAAGGTTGGGCAATCCACTTACGCAGTGACGTTGCCTCGGAAACCCCTTGGAGGGGTTGCTATGAGTTGGGTCCGACTTGACGGCAGCTGGTTACTCCAATAACCTTCATCCAACCCCCTTCTTTAGCAGTCTTACCTTGTAACTACATACATGCTAGTCTTTACCCAGCACACGCTACCTCAGAAATCTTAAACTCCACAGTACACAACTCTGGCCAAATCCTCTCATCCTTGTAGCACTCCCATCTCCCTTCATATTCTTTTTCTTTTTTTCTTTAGCCACATCTGGAAATGTCCTTTAATTATGAAGCTCACAGTTTAGTAGAGAGAAAAAGACATGTGAACAAACGGCTACAATATCCAATGATGTGTATACAACAATATGCATGTATACAGATAGACTCCAGAAAGGAAGAAACACTTCAGGGGTGGAGGATGTGGTTCGGGAGTGATCTGTGGGTGTTCAAAGATTTAACTGGCATACTCCAGGAAAAAGTCACAGCATGAGGATCATGGACCCAGGCTACCGCAGTGCACCATTCTACTACTCCAGGGGCACTATTACTTTGTAGTCTGTTCTTGTAAAATACCAAAGAGGCAAAATTAAATACGATTTAAAAAAATAAAATAACCAGTTCTTTTAGATAAAGTACTTTTCCTTTGTAAAAACTTTCCATGAGAACTTCAAATCTCACGTAGACCACATTAAAGTCACGTCACCTAAACCACAGCCATACACAAAGAGATAAGTAGAGTGAGAGTCTTTCAAAACAATGATAGCAAATTGGTATCACCACGTCAATTTGGTATTTTATAGAAGCACTGGTCTGCAACGGATTGGGGAAGGAAAAAAAACTGGTCCTTTACACAGAGAGTTTACAAAGTACTGACCTGAACTGTGATCTTTATTAAAGAATGGTTGAGAAAAGCTCAAACAGCCACTCTATCTTCTCAAATCTATGTTATAAATCTATATAACTGTCCCATTTCCTCCCCCGCCCCTGGAACAGCATTCCAGCAACCAGGACACACAATGAGCTCCCATGTCATCTTCCAAGTCCCTCTGTATCTAACAGTCTCAGGATACTGTAGGAACAGAAGGATACTTTCCCCCTCCTCTCCAAAAATACTAGTCATGTTGTTTTTACCACCACTTTCCTTTCTCCCTTATCTGAGGGTTCAAGAATACCCCAGGGAAAATGAAATTAAGGTCAACAAATTAGCTAACTTCTCACTGGTCATGAGATAGTTTATCAGCATTGTTGGGCCTAATGGCAACAAAAAGAAACTCAAGGCTTCTCATAGATTCTACTAGGTTCTTATCCACAGGTGCCAAGGCATGCAAGAACATGGTGCACCCAGGCAGCCTCAGTAAATCAGACTTCGTACCACTAGAGCTCGAAAGAGGAGAGGGAAACCTAGGCAGCCTCGGTAAATCAGACTTCGTACCACTAGAGCTTGAAGGAGGAGAGGGAAGCAGCTGGAGATGGGCCCTGGGAGGCACACTACTACTCCGCTCACGTGGGTTTATCTGTACAGAATGATAGAGGAGAGTGCAATTTTAACATTAGTCTGGGTTCAGAGAGATGGCAG